GGTAAACATCAAGAGTCATCTGCCTGTTTTCCTTTTTAGCTAGTTCTGGTTCGCGCTTGCAATCGTCCAGTAAGTTGTGTAAACTCCGTTCGCAGTTTACACAACTTACTGGACGAAATGATAAAATTCTGTGCTTATAGCTTGTGACAGTTACTCCATAGCACAAATGCAATTTTAATTCCTTTATTTATCATAAATTCCCGTTAATTGTGACGGGTGGCCGCATGTTACTTGGAAACTGCGGAATCCGGGCAGCATACCACAGCGAAATATGGGACCCAAGCTACCCAATTTGCTTTCGGTGGAACGTTTCATGGGCAGTAAAAATTCTTTGTTCTGGAAAGCATATTTGAAATGCTCAGATATCGTCATTTAATTTTGATTATAATTTTTAGGTATAATTTTCAACGGTGCTATTTGATGAATCCAGGATTTGTTCATATAGATTTTTTGATTACTGGGTCTGACTACAGAGCTACCGACTATGAATATGGATCTGTTTCTCCTAGAATCTCCGCAAAGTCAGGGATTAGGAAAGGAATAATCATCTAGCTGCTCTAGAATTGAATTGTTTATTCTTTTGGGTAGGATTGAATCTTCAGATATCCGCATGTTAGATGGTAGAGAATATCAGGAAAAATAACATTGATCTGAATCTTGTTTCTTTCTTTATCGCCAACGGTGAGGTTGTTGCTGCGTAGATCTATGGTTTCAAGCCATGTTTGTTTGTTTTGTTTTCAAAGTATAATGAAATTGGCTCTAAGGAGGGCTGATGAACACTTTTGATTGTGCGGCACAAGAAAGATAAAGATAGCAGCTTCGGTGCTAGAGGAAAGAGACTGAAAGGTTGCCTTAGGCTTATTGCAGCAGTAACAAAAGTTCTAGTAACAAAAGTTCTAATTTTTATGTTAGTCCTAAACGCTGGTTCCGAACTCGGATTGTGTGGTTTTCTAGAGACATCGGCGAAAGTGAGATAGTTGAAGAAATATTTGTTTGGAAATTGTTTTGAAAGCGGATCGTACAATGACGTGATAGCTTCTGAAAGATCGGTGTATCTGGCAAAATGGTAGACTTAGGCAGCGCTGTTTTACTTTGATGGTAGGCGCTTTCTTTACAGTTTCTTTATAGCTGCGGCAAGTAATCTTGAATGGGGGCACATCGGAGCGCGGTATAATGCAGCAGTCGTTGCGCTTAGCGTAGAAATAACCTGGCTAGGTTTCTTCAAACCCTGTTACTCGATCCTCTGTGTTTCAACAGATTCTGCATAAGGGTCCGAATTTTAGAGTAAGATAATCAGTCATGGTCATAATCCGTTATCCCTTGACTAAAATCTTGCTTTATAGCAATTTCTGCACAATTTAGTCCTTTTAAGAATTGATTAGATTTGATTGAAAGGAGCCACGCAAGCTGGCGGAAGCGATATTATCCATAAAGGATTGTTCACAGGGCGCTAACGCAAGGATCTCCGCTTGATAAATGCTTCTCTTCAGAAAAGTCGAATAAAATTAATTACGTTCATCTTGTAAAGAATTTTCTTTCATAAGCTCTGGGGGTTGGTATGTTTTA